AATTGTCAGTAGATAGGTAGTTATTGCCATTTTATTATTCATATCTTTTATCCTTTCTTCTTCTCCTTCTCCTTCTTATTCTTCTTTTAGAAGTCCCTTTAACATTCTTGTAATATTGATTTGGTGGTGATGAACTCCTTTAACTTTTCCTTGTCTGGGAAGCTGTTTACCTCTCCTTGGATTCTAAATGATAGCTTTGGTGGGTAACCTTGGTTGTAAGCCCTTGCTTTTCATGATTTTGAATATTTTGTGTCAATCTTGTCTGGCCTACAAAGTTTCTGTTGAGAAATCAGCCAGTCTTATGGGAGCTCCCTTGTAGGTAACTAACTGCTTTTCTCTTGCTGCTTTTAAGATTCTCTCTTTGTCTTTACCCTTTGGCATTTTAATTATGATGTGTCTTGGTGTGGGCCTCTTTGGGTTCATCTTGTTTGGGACTCTGCACTTCTGGGGCTTATATGTCTATTTCCTTTGCCAGGTTAGGGAAGTTTTTCCATCATTATTTCTTCAAATAGGTTTTCAATTTCTTGTTCTCTCTCTTGTCCTTCTGGTATCCCAATAATGCAAATGTTTGTTTGCTTGGAGTTGTCCCAGAGGCTCCTTAAACAATCCTAATTTTTTTTTATTCTTTTTTTCTTTTTGCTGTTCTGATTGGATGTTTTCTGCTACCTTACCTTCTAAATTACTGGTTTGATCCTTTGCTTTATCTAAACTACTGTTAATTCCCTCTAATGTATTCTTTATTTCAGTTATTGTAGTTTTCATTTTCCACTGATTCTTATGTTTTTTAATCTCCACATTTATGTTTCCTATCCCTTTGTTGAAATTCTTCCTGAGATCATTGAGCATCCTTATAACCAGTGTTTTAAATTCTGTATCTGGTAGATTGCTTGTCTCCATTTTGTTTAGTTCTTTTTCTAGAGTTTGTTCTGGACTTTCATTTGGAACATGTTTCTTTGTCTCCTCATTTTGGCTGCCTCCCTGTGCTTGTTTCTATGTGTTAGATAGAACTACTATGTCTCCCAGTCTTAGTAGAGTGGCTTTATGTAGTAGGTATCCTGTGGGGTCCAGTGATGCAGTTTCCCTGGTCACCAGAGCCAGGTGCTACAGTTGTGTCTCTTGTGTGGATTGTGTGTGTCCTCCTATTGTAGTTGAGCCTTGATTGCTGTTGGCACATCAATGAGAGGGATTGGCCCTCAGGCTAATTGGTTGTGAGGACTGGCTATGGCTACAGTGGAAGAGCTATTGTGCAGGGGGCTGACCCTACAGAGCAGGATTTGCTTTAGCAGGTCTCTGGTACCTGCCCAGTCTTCCCTTTGGGCGTGTTGTCCTTGCAGGTGGCCAGTTGAGGCTCCGGCATGGTCAGAAGCTGGCCCCTAGGCATGGCAGCCCTGGTACCTCCTGGGAGGGGTCCCATCACAGGCCAAGTTCAACCACAGCCTGTTCCCTTCCCAAAGCCACCTGGCATGAACCACAAACCAATCTTCAGATGGCAGCCACCTACCTTGGTTTTGGAGGTGCCTTGATAGTCCAAGCCATGAACTGAGGCTGGCTGCCACTAGTGATGGGATTGGGGCTGCTCAGCAAGAGGTATAGGACATGCCAAAGCCAGATGTTGCTTGTTTGGGTTTTGTGAACCTTAGAGAGATTTTAGGAAAGTCCACAGCAAGAGCCAAGACAGGCGCTTTGTGTGGAAAAGCTACTGAAAGCATCTTGGGTGAGACTGCAAGTTTTGTGGGACAGGATTTCAGGGATTCACCAGGGCAGAGCGAACAGTGTTAGCCAGGTTGATGGAGACTTGGATATGGTGGCCACCTGCATCTGCACACTTGGAAGGAGTAGGGCTCAAAAAAGGAACAATGGCTTCTACCAGCATCTCTGTCTAGGAGAAAGCTACCCTTCCTGCCCTCACCCTGCAACCAAAAAATTCAGTTCCTCCCCATATGTCCCTGGTGTGTTTCAAGCTGCTGCTAACATGGATCTCAGAGCAAGTGAGTCTGTCAGTGAGTAAGTTTTTGTGTAAGCACTTTAAGAGGAATGCCTGGGACTCCAGCAGCCCTCTGTCTTACTTGGCCACAGTCCCTGTTGGTTTTCACAGACAGAAGTTCTGGGGATTTCTCTTTCCAGCACCAGAACCCTAGACTGGGGAGCCTGGTGTGGGGCTGGGACCCCTCACTCCTCAGGGGGGACCTTCACAGCTGAGATATCCCTCCTGATTTTTAACTGCCACACATTGGTGTGGGACCAGCCTGTTCTGCAACTCTGTTCCTCCTACAAGTCTCCATATGACTTTTTCTGCATATCCTTAGATATAGGACTTCTGTTCAGCTAGACTGCAGGTGATACTCAATAATAGTTTTTCTGTAGTTTAGTTGTAATTTTGATGTGGTTGTGACAGGATGCAAGCACAGTATTTACCTACACTTCCATCTTGACCAGATTGAGATTCCCAACAGTTATTACAGTAAGCAATTTTGTTTCCTGCCAATCACTCAAAATTGGCAAAAGCAAGATGAGATTCAGTAACTTCCAGCCTTAATTCTTCTATTATTTGAGATTGTTCTGTGTAGTTATCCTGAAGAAGAATCTTACCTTCAGTTTCTGAAATTTTCTCCACTGATAGACTTTAATGGCACTATGACAAGGACAAAATCTGGGATTTACCAGCTTCATGGAACTGGTTTCATGGGCATGGAACTTGTGCAGTCACACAGGGCTTTTTAGTTAGAAGAGCCCTGGACTTGGTTTACTACTCTGCTGTTGCTATCTTGATGTTCTTAATAATTTTTTAACAAGAGGCCCTATAAATAATGTAGACAGCCCTTCCTTCATCTTCATCACTTTCTCCCCAGAGGCTGCCACAAATTCCTATTGTGTGAACATTTTTTCTGCCTGTCCTTATAGCAGAAGATGTCCATAAGGGCTCCCTGGGATCTGAAGCATCAGGTCTATCCCACCTGGACACTTGCACAGTCAGTCCATGGATCTGTGAGCCTATACTTTATGCCAAGTCCTAAGGTTGGCCCCTATATTCAGGAAGCTCCAATCCTTTTAGGAGGAAATGATAGAAATATTGGAAAGCAGTTAGTTAGACAAAGGCCCAAGGAATTATTTTTTTAATATAATTATAAAAAGAGGTATAAAAAAGTAAGCTCTTTGAAGGAAAGATAGAGCACACGCTACCTGGAATCATTAGGCAAAATTGTATGTAATTGCCAATGAGTCACTCTACTTGATCTAGAAAGACAACAGTTTCATATGGTTTAAACTAATATTCTCTCTCTCTTTCTCTCTCTCTCTCTCTCTCTCTCTCTCTCTCTCTCTCTCTCTCTCTCTCTGTGTGTGTGTGTGTGTGTGTGTGTGTGTGTCTTGGTATCTGTTTTTTTGTCAATAAGCTTTTATTGGAACACAGCCATGCCCATTTGTGTATATATTATCTGTGGCTGCTTTTGTGTTACAACAGCAGAGTTGAGTATTTGCAACAAAGACCTTATGGCCTGCAAAACCTAAAACATGCTATCTAGCCCCTTATAGAAAGTTTGTCAACTACTTTTCTACACTGCTAGATGGTAAGATTCTTGAGCTTAGGGAAACTGTTTTGTTTGCTGCTCCATCTTCTGTGCCTATAACAATTCCTGAAACATAGTGGCTACTGAACATGTTGGAGAGACAAGTAAATAGATAAACCGTGAATGTAAATATTCTCAAGGTCCACTTAAGTCTGTGTTGCTTATTCCTAAGCTCTTGACCTATTGGCTCTTCCATAGCAGAGGTACTGTCCTTATCCATGGAGAGAAAAAGAGAGAATATTAGACCAAAGAATCCTAGGCATCAGTTCAGGCATCCAATTTAATTTTTTAGGAATGAGAGTATTGTCCAATGTTTCTCAAATCTGACCATATTTTGGCTAAAAATTAGACCTAAAGCCAATTCTGGGGGAGATGGGTTCAAGACTAACTTGGTATCTATTGTTGCATTAGTTTCATATTGTTGCTGTAACCAATTACTTCAAATTTAGTGACATAAGACAACATAAATTTATTATCTTAGAGTTCTGAACGTTAAAAGTTTGAAATGGTACTCAGTGGGTTAAAATCTGAGTGATGGCAGGGCTATATTCCCATTTGGAGGTTGTAAGGAAGAATCAATTTTCCTGTCATTCCTGTCTTCTAAAGAAGGCCTACCTTCCTTGAATTGTCATCTCATCTTCTTTATTCAAAGAAAGCAGTGCAACGTCTTCAAATATTTCTTGGACTTTGACACTTCTGCCTCCTGCTTTCCCTTGTAAGGATCCTGGATATAATCCAGGATAATCCTGCTATCTCAAGGTCAGCTAGTAAGCAAATTTAATTCCACCAATAATTCAGGATAATCCCGCTATCTCAAGGTCATCTAGTAAGCAAACTTAGTTCCACCAATAATCCAGGATAATCCCTCTATCTCAAGGTCAGCTAATAGGCAAACTTAATTCCACCAATAATCCAGGATAATCCTGCTATCTCAAGGTCAGCTAATAGGCAAACTTAATTCCATCTGCAAGCTTAATTCTTTTTTGCCATGTAAACTTATTCACAGGTTCTGGAGATTAGGATGTGGATCTTATTGATCCATTATTGTTCTGCTTACAATTACTACTCTGCCTACAATGACTAATATATAAAATCATATTATTGTGTCAATAACATGGAATCTCTAGTGTTTGAAAGAACTAAGTTGATAATTACCCTGTGATTCTTTCTCCCCTTTCAAAGCATTTTCACATTCTTTATCTAAAATAGCACTGTGAAGTAGAGGATGGGGAAAATGATTATTTTCTTAGTGAAAAAGGTGAAAGGATTTCAGCAGGCCAAGGATTGGACAAGGGTGTGGCTACAATTAGGAGCCAGTTTTCCTGAACTCTGGGCAATGCTCATTCTGTTTTGGCACTGTAACCAATATTTGGTAAATATTTTGAACTTGTCATCTCTATTCCTTACATTTCCTTGATATGAATCTGTTCCTAGGGTATGGAGGCTATGGTGCTCATTTTAACTTTGCTGGAGTTCTGCATAGCTGTGTCCCTCTCTACCTTTGGATCCAAAGTATTGTGTTATAATTCTGGTCAGGTGAGTGTTGGGCTTCCTTTGAAGATGTCTATATTAATTTTCTGTTGCTATATAATAAAGTACACAAACTTAGAGGCTCAAAACAATACATACTTATTATCTCCTAATTTCCATGGGTCAAGAGTTTGGAAACAGCTTAGCTGGTTCCTGTACTCAGGGTCTTACTCAAAGAGTTGGCTGGGGCTACAGTGTCAGCTGAGGCCTCTGGCCCTCTTCCATGCTTGCGTGGCAGAACTCATTTCCTCTTAGCTGTGGAACTCATGACAACTGGCTTCTACTTTGAGGCCAGAAGGAGAGCAAAAGTCTATGGTGCTATAAAGCTCTTTAATGGGTTCACATAATTAGGTCAAGTTCATCCAGAATAATGTTTTTTTTTATGAAAATAGCATAACTTTAATACCAAATTCAGAAAATCATTACAAAAAAATATAAAATTTTGAATCAGTCTCCTGAGTACAGAAATGTATAAATTCTAAATGAAACCTTAATAAATAAAATCCAGCAACATGTCAAGAGAGTGATATCTTTTTTTGTCATCTCTGTCAGCAAAAGTTTTTATTGTTTTATTTTTTATTGTGAAATAAACATTTTTTAAATTAGTTTCAGCTGTACAACACAGTGCAATGGTTATACTTTTTACCCCTCAAAGTGACAACCTCCCTCCCCCTATCCACTGCCCCACTCCTCCCCCCCCCAATGATACATATCTATTATAATTCCCTTGACTCCACTCCCACACTATACTCCATGTCCCGTGACCATACATATTCACTTATAGCTGACATACAGTAATTTACAACATCAGCTTCAGGTATACAGTATCCTTTTTGATAAACTCAAAGTCAACTGATTAGTAAGCTACTCACAGGAGTGATGTCCCATCATATACATAGGTCCCACTCATGCTCAAGGGGAAAGAATCATGCAGGGGCATGGGTCACCAGGTGTCATCTTAGAATTCTGCCTACCACAGTAGATAAAGAAAAGCTACTTTTCTCCATTCTTACTTCCTCAAAGGGCCCCGCCCCCCTTAGTCCAGATCAGAGAATACTTCACCATGGATAAATCCCCAGAGCGTGCCACATTTTACTCCATTATCCATTAACAACCTTCCCTGGGATACTGAAGAAAGCCATGGTTTCAAACTTCTCTCTCAGTGTGTGCACACCTGCCCACTCTCTTACCCAAAGAACTGCAGCAGAGCCTCCAGGCTGCTAAGCAGGCAGAATGTCACATAGATGGGACTGGGAAATGGAAGGAGAGAAGAGACCAAGAGAACTAGGAAGAATAGGACAGAGATATCTTCCAAAAATTGAGGGTTCCAGGGTGAGAAAATGGACATTAAAACCCCGAGACATGTTCATTCGTTTCTTGACCCAAAGCCAGTCATAAAATAATGATAGTTTGATGGGGTTATTTTCATGGTGCTCTTCTCCAACACTTTGTGCTTCTTTACTTTCTTTGGGGGTTCCCATGCTACATCACATTCCCCCACTCCCACAGTCCTCCCCAGAGGAGACGGTGACTAAATCATGGTAAGTATCAGAGGACTTTTGCATTATGAGATTCCTAGGAAGCTACAGTTTCTCAGCAATTCCCCATCATTTTGTGATTAAGTGAAGCATTTTATTTTCTTGAAGTGAAGCATTTGGACAAAAGAGCAAGTTCCTTAGTAATGGTTGTATCATAGTATCTAGACCTTTGCTCCCTTCTGCTCCTAGAGTAGTTACAGAGCTGGGAAAGTTTGCTCCCATTACTCTCACTGGTTATTCAAGCTGGAGAGTATGAAGCCCAAAGAACAACGGCTTTGGGGCATATAATGTCTAAGTCTTGACTTCTTCCTGGCTTCCCCATCCAACCCCAGCCTCCACTGCCACCACCAACACTCCATTTCACACTGAATTTGTAGAAGAAGGGCCAGCATTTTCCTTTGTTTTCTAATGATCCCTGCCATGCTGGGTCAGTGTGGCTTTTGCAATGCTTTAGTCATGGCAAGCAAATCAATCACATTTGGGTGTGCTGTTGCCATCATCATGAACAAATTGGTTTGGCAGTTGAGCTCTTCATTTTCCAAAACACCTTGGGCACCATCATTCACATGTAAGATCAATCCACTTGCAAGACCACAGCAACAGTTTTCACCATCTCATACCAGGAGCGATCACTGCATGTTTTTCCTAGGTCTAGCCTTATCTAAAGAATGCCTGAGAATGCCAGCAAATTGATCTTGAGACTGAATCAGAGAAGAAAGGATCCACTCTGATAGTGATGACATTGTGTAGACAGGAAAAAGAAACCCTGAGATTATTTGGTTGACCAATCTATGACATTCTGATTGATTTCACAGGTTTTGTATATTCTGCCATCAAATGTTCGCATGGCAGAAGCAGCACCTTCTGCAACATTTCCAACGGAGTTGATGCCACCAACGTATCAAGAGAAAAATAATCCAGAAAATCTATTCTGAGGGTAATGCAAGAACCCCACTTGAGAAAGCACCAGAATCATCCAATTATGATATATATATATATATTTCAGAATCATGTTCTCATCTTCCCCAACAACTCAACAACTCATTCCACTGGCCCTTTATCAACTGTAGCAGAAGTTGAATAAATAAATTTAATGAGTCAATAACACTTGAGAGTTTTCTATCTTCAGGACTTTGTATAAGGACATTGAGGTAGAAAATAAGGTTTGCCAGAATAAGGGCAAATAGATATTGCTGAGATGAGGCCTCTGTGCAGACTGCATCTTTATGCTTCCTTAGCCAATACTCCTCCCACTTGTTTGACTCTTTTCCCAAGTTTGTGAGAGCGAGTGTTTTTACCTTCAGAAAGTTGAGATATATGGCTTTTTGCTTGCTTTCCTTCCCCTGCTTTCCTTCTCCCATAGAAAATACCTTTGAATAGCACAGTCAGTCCTTGTATGTGCACAAATCATCATTTGAGAGTAGGTACACACAGATTAGATTCAACTTATAGTTTCTGTTTCTCTCTTTTCCCCTTCCTCTTCCCCTTCATCCCTCTCTTCTTCCTCCTCTTCCTCTTCCTTTTTCTCCTTCTTCTCTCCTCCCCCCCCCCACACACACTCTCTTTGTCTCTCTCTTTTTCTCCCCCTCTCTCCTACAGGGCAGGATCAAATTTGTATCCAGAGCCATACATGTGATTGTGCAATACATGGTATTTACTAAATGTTAATTAAAGACATTTGATTTATTACAGAGCAAAAATAAATTAAATTAGAAAAAATAAGTTTATATACTGCCTACTTCTT